ATCCCTAATCCTCATCTGATAGTACCCTGGCCTAAGATCAATCTTGGAAAACCAAGATGCACCCTATAACTGATCGAACAAATCATCGATCCTCGGTAGTGGATAACGGTTTTTCATCGTTAGTTTGTTCAACTCTCGATAATCAATACACATCATGTACGATCCATTCTTCTTTTTCACAAACAAGATCGTAGTCCCCATGGGGAACTACGCGGACAGATTAAACTCTCGGTCTAGCAGCTCTCGGGCAGAGCTAGCCGGTATGCTGCCTTGGCTATCAGAGCAGAATCGGACATCAAATCTATGCGAAACTCTACCTGCCTCTCCGGAGGCACTCTAGGTACTCGAGAAATACATCCCGAAACTCCCGCACAATCGGTACATTACCCAAATCCATCAGGGTCACCATCCTTATATCCGAGATATGTGCCAAAAATATCGAACAACCCTGTTGTAGAAGTCTCCTAGCCCTCGCAGCTGAACAGAGGGTTGGACCCTGCGAGGCCCTCTCTCCATGAATAACTCTTCCCTACTTGGGGTGCGAACCCTCACTAGTTAGCGCTTACAATAAATCATGGCCCCATATGCCCCCAACCAGTCCATCCCAATGATCACCTTTAGCCCTCGCAATGGTATTGAGACTAGATCAACACAAAACCTCTCCCCAAGCACATTCAGAACATTGTCCCGATACACCCTCGAAACACTCACAATGCGGTCTTCTGTAATCTCCACCTCAATCGGGGAATCCAAGGCCCTTGACACATCCTGGAATTTCTTACTAAGCGCAAGAGATACAAACGATCAGTTTGCACTAAAATCGAATAGAACGTGGGCCGACATACCATTGACCAAAAAGGTCCCTATACATGAGCACATATATACATATAAGCAATACAAATCAATATAGAGTGGAAGGTAAATACATACTAGCTAGAACATCTGGTGCTGCCCAAGCCTCCTTGGTAGTCAACTGAAACATGCGACTCTTCACCGATGGAGCTTCCGCCTTAACAGGGCGGCCATCAGTGATACTCATTGTGGTGGGTGCAGGCGCCGCCACTGCTCCTCCTCCACCCTGCAACCTCGGGCAATCGGCTTTTTTATGGTCAACTTGGTTGTAGAGGAAGCATATCAAGCCCTTCTTGGGGTAGTCCCTGCTCGTGTGGCCCGACTGACCACATGTATAACATACCGGGCATGTCCCATGACAAAATCAATTGTACGATTTCCCGCACTTAACACACTGGTTACGGCCCTGCTGAACCCTACCCGAAGAATTAGAGGTCTTAGGCTTTTTAGCCTGACCCCCAGCTATCTGAACCTACTCCGGCTTTTGCTTAGTGCAAAGCTCTAACTCCATCTCCCGCTCACGGGCCTTCTCCACCATCTCATTGTGGGTTTTGCACCTTGTAAAGCTCAAAAACTCTCGGATATCATCCCTCAGCAAGAAATGATACCTTTTCCTCCTCATGTCCTCATCTGTGGCATACAGCAGGATCAACAGTGCTCGCTCCCAAAACTTAGCGGTGATCTCTGCCATAGTCTCGATAGTCTGATGGAGCTCCTGAAACTCCCTCACTAACCGTTACACCTCAATAGATGGTACGAACTCTAGATCAAAGCATCTAACAAACTATTCCCACATCATCTCAGCCACACCAGCTGCTCCCACCTGGCTAGTCACATCTCCCCACCAATCTCGGGCTCGATCCATCAGTATACACGAAGCAAAAAAAACCTTTTCCGCATCAGGGAAAAAACTCGTGCGCTAGGCATTCTCTATATCCGCCACCCAACGTCGAAAAACTATAGGGTCCCTGACCCAGAAGAACTCTGGCGCCCCGTACGCCTTAAACTCCCGGAATGAGGGATTTTAGGCCCCGACCTGGCCCGCAGCAATCTTAACTCTGATTGACCTGATTGACCTGAGCCTCTCCTCCATGATCTCCAACATACCTTCCTTGACCGTCCTAAAAATCATTGGGCTACGTCAAGGATGCCCCTCGTAACCTCGTCTTCAATAAGCTCGCACAACCTCTCATCAATGGGCTCGATATTGTCACCCGACCTAGATCCAGATCCTGATCCCCCTGCTCCAAACTGTGTCACCACCATACTGTACCGCAATACCACAAAACATAATGATAAGGATGTTTGAAGAGGGGATCCTCCTACATCGTTTCTCCTTAGATCTTCCAGATCTAGCATTGGTTCAGATACAATTCATGTACTTTTAGTAGTATGGTGCCAATACTACCTTCCACACCTACATGTACCTTCCCCAAGGCTTTACCTGATAACTCCAATTCGTCCCAGAACAAATCATATCTCACAACTACCGCATAGCTCAAATACTAGGTTGTCCTAAGATTTTCTCCACCCATATCAACCAGAACTTAATCATAACAGGTTGCCTTAGGCATGCAAATTATACACAGAACATGATCAAATAGACTTTCGAATAACAGACCCTACCCTAGGACCACAACAATACAAGGAATAGGAAATAAGGTCAAATCAATCATTCTGAGGCTATAAGACCGTAACCGTATACAATTTTGAAAGCATACACATAGCAAGATTCATACAATTATCACAGGTCAAATATCAGTATAACATGGCTAACATATTGGGGTAACTACTTACTTGGATCGGCCGATCACACGTATTGAACTCTCCTCTTCTTTCTCCATTTAAAAAAAAGTTTTTAACATTTATTTTTGAAAATAATTTTACCATTTCCTTAGTTTGAGTCTTCACACACTCGAGAGTGTGCCCGAATCCCTCACACCAAGACTCTGATACCAACTTCTAACGACCCAATTTCAAAACAAAATTTTCATTTTTAAATTATCAAAATGTTTCCAATCAACCCTAAAATCTCAAGAACAATTGTTTTCAGAATTCACACATCATCAAATTTTATTTCAGATATCAAAGTATCCTATAAAAACCCCTGTGAGAGTGCATGTCGTGCCATCAGACCTTGCCCTTGCGCTTAGGCTCAAAAGTACCTAAAAAATCAACAAATTGTAAGTTAATGCTTAGTGAGTTCCCCAGAGCATACCCCACACAATTTACGTAATCGCATAATCATATTAGCTATAAAAGCTACATAAACCACATAAGCCATGCATATAAACATATAAGGATACCGTGGAAACCATCTAAGGTCTTAAACCAAGTCCACGAGAAACCCCCGCGTGGTCTTTACTAGTCACCACTAGAACCCCTATTTGGTCTTGGCTAACTACCGTGGGAACCTCCACATGGTCTTCCTTAGTCATAGAAATATCATACTAACTAAACATGTAAACATACTAGGAAGTTGTGGAAACCCTCCAAGGACTTTTACCAAATGCCATAGGAACCTCCTCATGGTCTTAACATATAGCCACGAGAACCCCCCGGGGACTTCCATACAAGTATAGCACATATACAACTAGCATGCTTCCTAGCAAGTAATCAACTATCATACCACATAATACAACTTCAGCTAGTGTACCACATATCATAAAATAGGTTGGCCTTGGTGCCTGCGACCCATTGGTATGGTGAGGAGACTCACCTCTCAAGAATGCTGAATTGATAAAATAGAATCAAATAAGTCCCGACACGCAATTCCAACTCAACTGCCTATAACCATCATGTTATCAACTTGTCAAAATCCCAAAATACTGTAAATACCCTTAAAGTCAAATTTGGTCAACCCTGGGTAAAGTCCAAGTCAACAGTCAAGGTCAACAGTCCATGTTGACCCCAACTCATCGAGTGCATCCAACAACTCCCCTAGTTACCTGAGTAATTCGTCAACTCGCCAAGTTACCTGAGTAACTCGTCGAGTTCCTTAATGTCCAGAATACTGAAAACTCATGTAGACCGAAAACCCTAATCCTTCACCAAAATCACTCAGAATCTAAAAAACGGGTAAACCCGACCTGACTCGTCGAGTTGGCTATGCAACTCGTCATGTCCCTACAGCCCTTTTTGTGTTCAGTCCTTTCCAGTGATATTCAAGGCTCCAAATTACAGATCCAACCCCTTATGGTGTAGTCACCACGTAAAGTTGCAAACTTTACGTGTATTCAAGGCCTTACAAGGATAAAACACTAAAACTAAGGTTCCTACAAGGTTTTAGTGCATGGAAAGGGCCTAATCTGGATAAAGTGGGCAACTTTATGTCCTTGAAGACCTAGAGGTGTCCAGATCTGGAACCATATCGTTATCACAAGTCCAAATCCGAGTATGAAACCCTTTTTGCAGAAAAAGTGACCATATTCTTCCATAAGACGAGATCTAAGCAAATAGAGATCAATGTAACAACCTTTTTACCTCTAAATGAATGCTAACAACAGGTAGATCCTGGATCCAAAGCCTTCTCCTGATTTCAATTTCTTCAACCTTTAAGTTTCCTTTCAAAAGAACAAGATTCACTCTCTAAAGCTCACACATACACTCACTAAAACACCAAACGCGGTTAGGGTTTCTCTATGGACTGTAAGAACGATGAAAGAGGCTACAAATGAGCCATAAGTTCTTTAAATATGGTACTAACCCTTGAAAAATAAGGTTTTCCTTTATAGCCTACTCGTCGAGTCGGGGCCTTCTACTCGTCGTGTAGGATCTAAATCTCGCATCTCATATATGATCTATACGCGACGAGTTGGAGCTCCCTAACTCGTCGAGTCCTAGCACCAAACCCTAAAAACTTAGAGAATTAAATGATATCTGGAATAGGCATTACATCTGTCACTATACGCATATGGTCACACTTTTATGGTGTGTCTGTAGGTCATTTTTGTACTAGTGATATAAGTGATCGATAATGTAATGTGGATTATAAGTGATTCTTTTTAAATTTGACTTGAGTACTGAAGACCCAAAAGACGCGTTGGAGCATTTGGTAATGCAATGGAGCATTTGGTAATGCAATGGAGCATTTGGATTAGTGATGGAGCTTTTGGATAAATCGTTAGAACATTTCCAAATGCGCCTCATCAAGCCAAATGTATTGCAGGCTGCTGGAGCTTGGCTAAATGTTCTATAGGCAAGCCCAATGCGCTCTTGGTTGTGAGGGCGCATTGAGTTGGTGCATGATTACATGATATGATCTTGGAACTTCAAGAATGGAGCGACTTTTAGTAAAGATGTAATCTTTTTATATATATGCTCTCTTAGTGTAAATGTGCTCTCTTTGTGCAAATGTGTTCTTTGTGCAAATGTGCTCTTCAGTGCAAATGTGTTCTTGGTGTAAAGGTGGTCACTACATGATGTCTTGTGATTGGTTGACATTTATTTGGACGTAAAAATGGATGAGCCTGACCATTAGGGTGTTCTTGGTGTAAAGGTGGTCACTACATGATGTCTTGTGATTGGTTGACATTTATTTGGACGTAAAAATGGATGAGCCTGACCATTAGGGTTTTATGTCTGACCCTAATTCTATTAATAGGGGTAATAGATAGGATTTAAAGCGTGGTCCTTTTTGGCGGTCTTTTGTTTGTGTGGATTGTACTTTTATTGTTTATATGTTTATCTCTATTTAAGATTTTGAATAATAATACACCCTCCTACTATGTGGATATATGTCACATTCAGTGAATCACATTAAATATTCTATCTTTGTGTATGCGTGTATGTGTTTTTTCTTGTTTATCCCTAACATTTGTCTTTTCCTCACTTTACCCAGCCTCTTGCTAGTATCCTTTTCTTTTTTATGTATTATTCAGTTGAAAAAAACATGGATTACATCTCATGATAAATTTTTTCAAAGTTCAATGTCAGTTATCTAATTATCTTTCAGAGAATCTAGGGACCATATTTTATATTTTAAATTTTTTTTAGGTAATGTGGTATTAACTCAAAGCTATTATGCTAACTTCCATACAAAACATATATAGAAAACCACCATAATGTTAAAACACTAGAAATTTGAAGCACACAACGGATGAACGGAGTAAAATTAAGGTGAACATCAAAACAATATAATAGAAATAGAAAGGAAAGTTACAAACCAAAATAAATAAGAGTAAGAAAACTTGTATGAATTGCTTCCATATGCTTGAATGTGCTCCGCCACATTGAAGTCACCTACAAACCAAAATAACACCAAATCAAACTCACTACAAAGTTACCCTAAAATATATTTACTTCTGTGAAATCAGTCATAGATAACTAACTAAAAATATCTTCTTTTTTCGTTTAGTTGTCGTTAGATATAACCCTTTCATTTATATGCATGTCTTCTTTATTACCTCGGCTAGGACCAGAGCTACATCCGGACAATATAGTGTCTTTCACATCCCTCACCGTAGCACGATTGTAAAAAAGGAAGCTTGACAACGCATCATTCATGCAGTTGAGGACAAGATTTGTTTCTTTAAAGCATGGGCCACCACAGAATTGATTTGTATATTCAGGTGGGACATTCAATTCTCCGCGCTCAGTTAGCCTATAAGACTCCCCACAACCACGATAAATCTGTTGTTAAAAGAATATATGATTAGTGGAAGTCTTAGCAAAGAATATTATACATATTCATTAAAATCAAACCTTTTTCATTGACAATTTGTAATACATAGACTTTGTTGCATGTTTAAGACCAATACCTTATCAGTGAGACACACAAGTGCTTTAGCAAGAACTCCACCACCAATTCCTCCACTTCCTCCGATTCCACCTCCACCATTACCAAACCCACCACCCACACCACCACCGCCAGGCTGAGGTAAATATCCGAGCCCGGTTCCTGATATCCCTGTTTGTGCTCTCCCTAGAGATCAAAACATTAGTAAAATACATGCATTAGTAATATCATAGATTAATTTCAACCTAAACTAACAGTCCTTACTGTAAAATTACAAGAACACTATAATATACAAGAAAAACGTTCCCTTATTTTTTTAACCCCATGTTGTTTTTCAACAAAATTGATATGTTCACGATCAAGTAGTTTTATATTCAACTCCAGCTAGCAAACTCTCAAACTATTTATTGAAAAAAGAATTCTCAAATTGTACCTAATCGGAAGCCATAAAGAGAGATACACACCATCATTACAGCAAAAACCAGTTGCTTGACGAAGATTGTGGACATCATTGGTAAGTTGATCAAGATAACCACGATATCTGAAACACTTTACAGAATTACCGAAGGTCAGTCACGCAATGGACTACGGAAGTTTCCGGTATCTGGTTTAGTCACACAAGAATGCTGTAGAGGTCTTGAGCATCAACGAGGGAAACCTGATTTATAAGTTGTTATAAAATTATTTGTGATATATTTTGGAATTTCATTGGTAAACAGAAGTGGTCAATTGGTTGGGATAGCGGAGACTCGGAAGAGAGGGCAGTTGAAGGTGTTCACCAACCGTTTGCTTTTTTTAGCGTTTAACGTTTTTTTTTCCCCGAATCAAACCTAATTTACCCTTTTTATTCCCTACACCTACACTTTCAGGTATGCCTAGGGTTAGAAGTTATGCATAAAATATGGGATTGATGCAAAGTCATAATACATTAATTAGTGTTTTATCTAATTAGGACGTTGTTGTGACGTTTTTTCAATCTAAAAACATAACCGTCTTGTGACAAACCAATGATATTGTTATGTTAAAACTACAATGCTTACAACTTTTATAGCAAATCTAGGTGTATCCGTGCATTGCGCAGAAGCATCTAGATAACTACAATCTTTATAAATATATATTTTTTTAATATAACAATAATGTTTTTGTTAAATTTGATATAATAAATTGTATAGTAAGGTGATATAATATATTGATTATTTTAAATTATATGATTTATATATATATAATATATATATATATATATATATATATATATATATATATATAGAGAGAGAGAGAGAGAGAGAGAGAGAGAGACGTAGTTTCCGTTGAGATTAAAAATAAAATAGAGATCTCGAGATTCAACCCCAGCCACGTATTTCACACCTGTCGCTCTAACCCTTCAGCGTACCGGCGCGGCAGGTTTGGTGTAATCATAAATGATTACACAGTGCCACCCGTTCTTTTCTCCTCCGCTACCATCCCCACCACCGTAACCGCCCCCGCCACCACCACTACCACCACCTCTGACACCAGTCGACCCCACCACTGTAACCTCCATTACTTATACCATCGCCACCTCTGTCACCACCACCTCTTCTGCGACTAACTGTAATAATCATTTATGATTACTCAATCTGTGAACAGATATATATATATATATATATATATATATATATATATATATATATATATATATATATATATATATATATATGATTATGCATATAAGTATAAACATGTATAATCCTGTATGATTATACCTCTCTGTCATATAATCATTTATAATTACACAGTGCCACCCGTTCCTTTCTCCTCCGCTACCATCCCCACCACCATAACCACCACCGTCACCACCACTACCACCACCTCTGACACCAGTCGACCCCACCATTGTCACCTCCATTAATTATACCACCGCCACCTCTGTCACCACCACCTCTTCTGCAACTAACTGTAATAATCATTTATGATTACTCAATCTGTGAACAGATATATATATATATATATATATATATATATATATATATATATATATGTATAATCATTTATGATTATGCATATACGTATAAACATGTATAATCCTGTATGATTATACCTCTCTACCATATAATCATTTATGATTAGGCATACATCGTTGTTGCTGGTACGCTGGAGCATTAGAGCGGCAATTGCGAAATATGTGGCTGAGGTTTACGTATAAACATGTATAATCCTGTATGATTATACCTCTCTACCATATAACCATTTATGATTAGGCATACATCGTTGCTGCTGGTACGCTGGAGCATTAGAGCGGCAATTGCGAAATATGTGGCTGAGGTTTAATCTCAAGATCTCTACTTTTTTTTTTATTCTCAAGTGAACCGTCCCCTATATATATATATATATATATATATATATATATATATATATATATATATATATATATATATATATATATATATATATATATATATAAACTTCATAATCTCAATTTTTTGAATAACATCTACCCGCGGGTTACTCATAAATAAATTAAAATAAAATATATGGTGTAATGTTATTTATAGTTGTTGATATTGTTAATTAATTTTTTAAAATTTATTTGCTTAACGTTTTAATTTCTATCACTATAATTATTTAAAATATCAAACAATTTTTTATTTTATTTTAATGGTAACAACATAATCATTTATATAGAGTTATTTTTAACTATTGTTATTATATGTTATTTTAAGCTACTTATTTGATAACTTTTAACTATTATAAAAATATCTTTAGGAAATATTTTAGTTAAATTGATATTACAATTTAGTTTTTTCATTTAGCACTACAAATTATCACTTTTAACTATTTACAAAATAGTTTTTGGGTTTTTTAAGTGAAACTGAAATTTATATTGAAGTTCACCCTGTAATGTTATATTTAAATTAACAATTTAAGTATTTTGTCCAAACTTTTGAAAAGTTGTAGCCTTAAACTAATAATGGCTTGCATACAACAACATATTAAATCTAATAAATTAAGTATAATATGTTAAAAGTTAAAGACATAACTTTATAAGTAGAAGTAAAAATATTATTTTAATATTGAAATTTAGGTCATTTATGATAACACTTTAGGTTTGATACTTAATTAACTTTATTAACTAGTTTATAATTATTATTAGAAAGACACTACAATTTATCAATTTTAACTAATTACAAAATATTCTTTATATTGTTTAAGTTGAACTAAAATTTTTATTTAAGTTGATCATGTAAGGTTATATTTAAATTAATAATGTAAGTAGTTTATACAAATTGTTCAAAAGTTATAACTTTAAAATGATAACGGTTTACATACAACAACATATTAAACCTAAAAAATTAAGTATAATATGTAAAAAGTTAATAACATAACTTTATAGGTAGAAGAAAATATATCCTTTTAATACTGAAATATAGTTTATATATAATTACACTTTAAGTTTTATATTTATTTAACCTTATTAACCAACTTATAATCATTATTAAAAAGAAATTGAAAAGTCATATGAGTTTCAGATGAATGTGGTGAAAGAAAAAATAAATGGAAGTTTCAAATGAATGTGGTGAAAGGAAAAATGCTTCCTTTATAAGTATATAATGATATATAAATTGGTTATTATGCTTTTAAAGATTTTTTTAGTTATATAATAAAAGCTATCAATTATATATTTCGTTAGAATTTTAGGAATGAATAGATTCTAATAATAGAACGGCACGATCAAAAGAAAGATTATGAACACAATGAGGTAAAAACGATCAAGCTTTCATTAGAGAGTAAAAGAACAGTTCGGTACAACAGTAGGAAACTATTCAGGCAAAGGATACACTATCTACTAACTAAGAGTCAGAAAGGAAAACATCTAAGTGAACAGCTAGAGTACAAATCAAAATATAATCAAGTATACAAAATGGAAACAACACATGTCACATACTAAAGTGAAGACTTTATAACATGAAAAAACAAATTATGAACACAATCGTGTACAAACTTCACATAGCATTCAAATTCCGAAACATACCAATATCCCCCTTTGTGTCGAGTTGCGATTATTGTCTTCACTTCTTCTCATCGAACACCTTCAGAAATGTCTTTAACAAAATCATGAGAACCATTATCCATCATTTAATCATGTCAGAAACACACTTTACATCATTTAAATTATTCACCTTGCATGCTTCAGCTCTTGAGAGAACATTGGCGAGTAAGGCTGTTAGATACAAGTGTTTGTCTCGCAAAAACATCATACAATTACACTTCACTCCATTCTCAGATGTTTTATAAACCACTCCTCATGATTCTTTTTAAATAAATCCAAATATAAGCTGATCTAAATTATCAGGTTGTGGAAATGGCTTCAAAATTTGTCTTCTATTCAACACTTTTGAAATCTTAACATCCATCTTTGAAACTTCTTGAATGTAGCATCTTATCATTCTTTGCAAAATTTGAAAAATAGGCTCGTATTTTACAATATCTCTGGAAACAATGTTGAGAAGATCGATCCAATCATAAGAGTTCATCATCAGAAGATCAATAAGAGTAAAACCAAAGACTTCATGATTCATTCCTCTGTATCCTTTAAAGGACATGCTCAAAAATCCTTCTGCCTCAAAAGGTTTTCCATCTTTCGAATCAACAATCTTTTTCAAGCTCCAAGTTTCATACTGAGGCCTTGATTGCTTCAAATTAAAATTGAATAATTTCTTGTTTACACCTTCATTTCCCAACAGAATATCTACAACTTAATATGGACTTTAAAATATAAAGGCTTTAGCAATTATTGGGATGTCCATTTGACATTTAGGATCATTTGTCACTGAAAAATATGTGGTTGGTTCCAGCCAAAAAGAGTCCGCTTTCTTAATAGTTGCTTTCTCCATTCGACTAATAGTCGATTTCGAAAACAAAACCTTATTTGGGCCGTGATAATCACGGACCTAAAGAATTGATCAGTAAGCTTGTTGTAAGTGATTCCAAGAAAATACCGATTTTATTTGGATCACATTCCATTAATTGGTAAATTTTTAGATGTACTATATAAGTAGGATGCTCTAATAAATAATTAGTTAAAGTACATTGGCATTTCTTATATTTAGTTGATGTCCTAGGCTTTTCCAGGAGTCACTGATTGCAGCATCAACACACATTCATGAATTAAGTACTTGAGCATGCTTTTTGAGGCCTAAAACTTTTATGCTTTGATAAATTATTTGTCTATCATTCAACAAGTAGCTGCTCCCTAGTAGCGTGGTTTGCTTCACCTTTGTCCTATGTTTTCCTGTTGCATATATAAATCAACAACACATGCACTCATGTTAGTCACATAAACCACTCAAGAACTCATAAAATGAATCTCAATTTTCACCAGGATTCACTTTATTTCTTAATTTTGTATGTTTACTTATTGCAGCAATGAACAAAAAATATTGTATTCATTTGACCATTTCTTACTTGTGTTCGCTAAGAGTGGGAGTCATCCATCCAAAGATTAACAAGTACCTATAAGATAGTTTAACTAATTCCTTATGTGCATTACTTTTTGTTATATTTTCATTTAATATCTTTTTACTTGTTGCAAACATAAATGTGAAACCTTACATGAAGTTGACCATTTCCAACTCATTATAACCTTCTTAACCAAAAAAATAGATTTTAAAGTAATAAATATTACATAAAGAATATAAGGTTACACCTTGTCATCAACCTAGACAAGGCCAGAGAACATGCTAATGTTCCTCTTCGAAATGATCCGCTGACAAAATATGCATCGCAATCAACAAAATTAGAAGCCAACATTGACCAGAAAAA